GTGAACCTTTGTCATCATGATCTACTACAACACAAAGATTTTGATGTGTCCATACATCTAGCTTCAACCTGCACAGCTATTCACATTGGTCAAAGCAGATTTTTCAGTTGTTTTTCAAAGATAACTTTGAACTTTTTTCCTTTGATAGGTTGAAACATTTAGCAAGCCAGCATAAGAGAGCAACTCTCAATCTTCCCAATCAGCACTCAAATGTATTTTTCCATTTTTACTTTAACTCTCTTCGTAGTGACGATTGAGGGGGGTGCGAAAGCAGTGGCAATTTTGCTCTACGGTGGTGTGCACATGTATTACGGAACAGAGAGAGGTACATTGGCTCATGCGAGCATAGAAAGGTTTTTAGAATGTGGCCAAACCACTCACTACCACACATGTCACTTTTCCACATAGACCAAAATTATTATAGACATATTACGCTCATTACTAATATAGCTTGTTATTTAAAAATTGCCATTACTTTTGCACATACACCCCCTTTGAAATTGCTAGAATTCCCCTTTCCAAACATAAAACCCATGTACTCAATGTGATATTTCGCTGACATCTGCTTCTCTATGGGAGGAACTCAATTATCTCTACACCAAAAATGCACTGTGCAATCGCTATTGAACGTCCACTAGAATTTTCGAAATTGGATTTGCTTATGTATGCCTGGTATTAAAGTTAGAAATAGCAATACCTGGTACTGAACTACTTTTATCACTTGAAAACGTAGTGCGCATACATTGTCAGTGTAGAGCATATGTACTGTCAGTGCAGAGAATAAAAGGCAAGTTGTTAACCCATGAACCGAAGGTGAAAATTGTCTTATCCTTAACCCTTTGAGGACCACGAACGTACAGGTGCGTCCATAATCCCGAAGGGGCTTTAAATAAAAGAAAAACTATGTAGGTTCTCGAAGGGTTTATGGGAGAAAGAAAGGGGAATGAAGTGGTAGCTCAATAGAGTGGTGATTTCGAAAATATCGTGGATGATACAGGCCTATGAGGTATAAAAAAAAATTCAAAATTAGAAAAAGGAGCCTCCATTCGCCAGGGGTGGCCAATTTTTTGGCTTAAAGTAGGAAAGCAAAACAAGAATGCGAATGAAAACTTCGCACAGAATACCTGGTGTTCTGCAAGCTCACGGCGCTTGATTCCAATTGCATCGCTAAATTTTTCATTTTCAGTGGATGACCCTTCAACCCCAGTCGATTCTTAGTAAAATTTATGATAAACGTCTCGTTTCTCTGTTCTTACCTTTTATGGAGCCCACATTCGCAGTAAGATGGAGCATGGTGCGCCAGTCCATGCCATTCCAGCTGACGTCACGCGTCACGTTACACAGCCCCACGGAGGACAACTGACTCAGTCTCCGACTCGATGTCAGACTTGGGAGGCAGTTCTCCTTCATCCCCGCAAGCGACCAATGGGGTGAGATCTCTCTGACGACATGCCACTCCGTTTTCTGATTGGAGCTCAGTCGTCTTCCCACCTCGGTAACGGATTGTGATCTCGAAAATGTCCACACCTCCTAGGCCTTCGCCATTCAGCACCTTTAGACACGACAGACAGTTGTTACCACGTTTTGGTAGCATGTGCTGCTCGTTTTGGTTCCATAAAATATTTCCTGAAATCAGTGCGGTACGGCGATGAGTGTCTCAGGACAAGGGAGTTCCGTTCTTTCCGGTTTCCTGAGTTGCGATTTAGGATGCTCTTCTTCTTCAGCACGCGGAAGAACCGACTCGCGAAGAAGATTTTTGGATTTAGTTTTCGCGACGAACGACGATCTGGCGCTAGACGTTAAGGTGCAGGATAACTTGGGAGATTCGGACCACTGCGCGATTTCTTGGAATATCAAGCGGACGAAGAGTAGCATCAAAACGACGAAGGTTTCATACAAATATTACAAATACAAATACAAATACAAATAATAAAAAACCTAAATTTGAGAGACTACGTGAATGCATTTCAGGCTTCCACTGGGAGGGAAGGTTCCGTGGGCTGACGGTAGAGGAGCAATGGGGGGCGTTCGAGAAGTTTTTGCAGGGCTTCATGGAGGAATGCATCTGCAAGAAGTCTATAAAATCGGTCAGGCAACCGGTCTGGATAACGGGTAAAATCAAAGCACTCATCAGGGATAAAACGTGGAAATGGGATGCGTACAAGCGCACGGGAGATAGAACGGGACTATTAAGAATATTGGACCATCACGAGAACGTTGAAGCGGGAAATGAGGTCTGCGAGGGGAGGTCGAGGAACGGCTGCCTAGCGATGGTAAGAAGATCCCCAAGGCTTTTTATCGGTATGCTAGCGATAGGTGTCAACAGTCGATCGGGCCTCTAATGAACGACAGTAGGGTTGCATGAAATTAAGATATGTCTTGCATATCGAATCCAAGAAATTACGATATGTCTGGGATTCTTAAGGAGTTCTTCGCTTCCGTTTTCACATTGGAATCTGAGGAAGCACCGACTTTGCAGGAGGTGACCTCGGCGCACATTGCGGATATTTCCATTACCGAGGAGACGATCTTGAGTATGATAGAACTCAGAAAGCCGGAAAGAACGGAACTCGCTGGTCCTGATCTGAGACACTCATCGCCGTACCACACTGATTTCAGGAAGTATTTTATGGAACCAAAACAAGCAGCACTTGAATATTCAGATGTCGTGAGAACGTAAGAATAATGTTAAGATCTGAAAGACCACGATGCCGAGGAAAGCGAGCCGAGGAAAGAGTCGACTCGGAACTGAGATCTTCCGCTCAATTCCTCCTCCTCTGTCGACGCTACCCTCACTATGACCATGCAAGTTCTACAGTATATGGATGAGCCTTCGCAAAGGCGCGTTTAGGGCGTTAGGCATACGATGACCAACGCAGAGGGACGGTAACTCTCGGAAGACTGAAGATAAGCACTCGGGAACAACAGAGGAAACAACTGCTCGTGCCTAAATGTGCTGAATGGCAAAGGCCTAGGAGGTTTGGACATTTTCGAGATCACTAACCGTTACCGAGGTGACCAGATCACCGACATGAGCCATTGGGTGTGGAAGACGACCGAGCTCCAATCAGAAAACGGAGCGGCATGACGTCACAGAGATCTCATCCCCATTGGTCGCCTGCGGGGACGAAGGGGAACTGCCTCCCCGTCTGATTTCAAGTGATTTCAAGTCGAAGGCAGGGTCAGTTATCCGTAGGGCAATGAAACGTGATGCATCAGCCGGATTGCCAAAGACTGGCGCACCACGCTCCATCTTACTGAGAATGAGAGCTCCATAAAAGGTAAGAATGGAGAAACGAGACGTTCATTAAAAGTTATACTAAGAATCGAATGGAGTTGAAGGGTCATCCCTTGAAAATGAAAATTAACCGACGCAGTTGGAATTTGGCACCGTGAGCTCGCAGAACACCAGATATTCTATTTAAGGTTTTCGTTCGTCATCTTCTTTTGCTTTCCATCATCAAACCGAAAAATTGGCCACCCTTGGCAATAGGAAACTTATTTTTCGAATTTCGAATTTTTTCTTTCACTTCACAGGCATGTTTCATCCACAAAAATTTCAAAATCCACAATCCACTTCCACAATCAGCTTCCACTTTATTCCCCTTTCTTTCTCCCATTAAAGACAATTTCCACGTCGATTCGTGGGTTGACAACTTGACCTTTTATTCTCTGCACTGACAATACAATAGGTGTGTATGCGCTCTACATGTTCGAGTGATACAATTGGTTCAATTCCAGGTATTGCTGTTTCTAGTTTTAATTCCCGGCATACATAAACAGTTTCGATTTCGAAAACTCTAATCGACATTCAATAGCAATTGCACAGTGAATTTTTGGTACAGGGCTCAATGAGCATATGGGTTTTCTGTTTGGAAAGGGGAATTCTAGCAATTTCAAAGGGGTGGGGGTGTGCGAAAGTAATGGCTATTTTTTAAATTCCAATCTATATTACAAATGAGCATGTCAATAATAATTTTGGTCTATGTGGAAAAGTGACAAATGTGGTAGTGAGTGGTTTGGACACAAAGTCTAATACCCTTTCTATGATCGCATAATCCAATGTACCTGTCTCTGTGCCATAATATATATGCACACCATCGTAGAGCAGAATTGCCACTATTTTCACACTCCCCTCCCTCGTCAGTACGATGACAGTTAAAATAAATAAATAAAAATACGTATGAGTGCTGGTTGAAGAATTGAGAATCACTCGCTCTCTAGTAGATACCTGCATTTTTAATCTGCACGTATGAAATTAGGAAAATTGAGCGACGTCAGCAGTGTTAAGGCGATGGATCAGGAAAGAGATTTATGCTGCATATCGCATTTAAAAAAAGGAGATTCCTAACTTCCCCCCTCGGCCCAGCTCATATTGGATCACTAGTACCATGCCCGAATACACTTATTATGGACCATTATTCTGGACCATTAGAGAACATATGTTCTCTAATGGTCCAGAATCTACCTGATGGGTCTCAGAGTCGATGGTTGTGAGGGTTCTATTGTTGTCCATGTTTTATGTTATGCTGGCTTGCTAAATGTTTCAACATGTCAAAGAAATAAAATTCGTTCAATAGAAACTTTTTGTTGACTTTTTAGACGAAACTGGTTACACTTATCGACACGTCCAACTTCGATCTACATACCTGTGTAGTTTTAGAAACACAACATCATCTAGTACTACTGTTTCCAAGTGAATGTGACATTGCAGGACGAATGTGGACACCGAGAGGCAGACATTTACCCCTTCATCACCAAAAACCCGGACCTCTACCTCAAACCATCGTACTCCTCAGTGGAATTCAATTCATGGACAATCATTGACAAGCCCCCAAATCGTCCTTAGGCTGCTAAATTTTCGGGCGTATGGTCGGGGGTGCCGATCGAGAGCTCAGGACCCAAGCGGTTGCCGTGCTGATGCTCCATTCCAGGATCTGTACCATCGTCAACACTACAAAAGATCCGTTTTATTGTTTAACTCATGCAATGGATTCATGTTGGGGGAAAAAAATGGAAAGTTGTATTTTTGACTTTCTATCATTATTTACCTGAAGCTCCTAGGAGCAATCCAAGAGTCCCTCCGAGATCGCAGAGGAGGGAGATGATGTCGTAACTGTGTTTCTCCACGATCTCCTCGTAGGTCATGTCCCGATAAAAGACCTGTAATGAAGCAAAAACGTCGGGGTGCTCCCTCATTTGTCAGGCATTAATCCAATACCAAGATAATGTTTGTATCTGACCCGAGTAACGGAGTGATTGTCCTGTCGATCCCGAGTATCGGAAGAGAATTCATACATAATATGCTTGCACGGCATGTGGCATCCACATTTTTCAGGGTTCCAGGTCGGAATATTACGGTCTCTCCCGTCCAGCATCCGGATGCTCAGGTTCGAGGCACGCATGAACTCTTCTCCGCCTTTGCACGCCCTAGCCGGCGTGTTCCTCACGAACGGCAAACTAAGCCGCGGTTGGACAAATGAAGCATTCTATGCAGAGAAATAGTCAATTTTAGGCGGGATTCGAGGTTTTAATGTTGCCAATTCTTGTAACAGGTTGGAGCAAGAGCGAAACTGTCCTTGATTCTGCCCAATTCCAGACAGGCAGAATCGTCTACAGGTTGTCACAAAGCACTCTTCACTATTGATTTTTTTTCATTAGATATCCGTAAGTGCAATAGGTTGTTTTTTTCCTTCAGTAGCAGCTTGAGAGATACTCCGAGAGAGGGGTGTCAAAATGGCAGCCCGCACTGCGATTTTCGATGCTTCCAACTTTGAAGAGATTTCATCCGTTTCTTCGTTACCGACTTTATATATATAAAAAATTTGAACCTTCGTTATAAAAGTACAAGTAAGCTCTTCCGTACACGTACTTCGGAAGTGTTATAACCTCCCTCCATAAAATTTATCAGTCGGAAAAAACAAAGACGCTTTCCTGTTAACCTGGTCAACAGGATAATGACATTCAATCAGGCCCATTTGCTAATTTTCACATCAATCAAATCAAGTCCCTTTTTTTTCTTCGACGGGAAAGGGGGAGGGTGTACTATGATAGGATCCTACTTTGTAGGAGGCGTTGTGAGAAACCGAGAAGCGTCAAGAAATATCGTATTCCTCACCTGCATCTCGTTCTGTGGAGGAGATCCTTCTCGTAACAAGCCAGCTGACATGCCGATCGAGAATAAGTGGGGTCCTTCACGCATGGCTGTTCGCCTCTGTTCACTGTTTGAAACTGCTCGGTTGGAATGACAACTTTTCAGTGATCTCTGAAATTTCGCTGAAGTTTCTTCATTGCATAAAAAAAAGATTCATAGGAATAAAGTCCAACAATTTTTAAGAAGTAAATATCTGCTTTCACCAAAGCTAATTTCACGGAACTCTCTCTGTGCATAGATGGATATGTTTCCAAATTATCTTCGAAAAATATTCCAAATTAATTTCTCCAAGGCTATGAGCAACGATTAAAAGGAAGTTGAATACTGAAAATGGACAAAGAGTTTATGAAGTGGAGGACGCACCAAAATGCTCTGCTTGTATTTCATACACTCCATGTTCGACTTCTTTTCCTTTTTTTATAGGCCGACTTTTTCTTTTCAAAAGCTTTATTCCAAACGACGATGAATCAAGAAGTATCAAAACAGTTTTCTCACCGTTTATTCAGATTTTTTTATTGCTTCATACCGGGTGGCGCAAAAAAAAAATCGCGTCGTGTTTGACGCCTCATAAAATCCGTTTTGGATGATCTATGTTCGTGATATTTTCATATTCCGTTGGAAATACCACAAAATTTGTTTTCTGAAAGTTTCATGAACCTAAGTTGTCTGAATAAATATCGACAGTTGTCAGAAATGGTGTCATAAAACAGACCTTACCGCTCACGAGGAGGATGGAGTTTCAGGACCGTTCCAATGACTTCTCTACTTTGACGTCATAAATACCGCTTTTTATACCAGTTCTCATCGTAGTATTCAACACATCATAGAATAGTACTACTGTCGTACATCGTAGCATCAGAATCGATACCACGCAGAAAACTACGATGAGAAAGAAATCATTCGTGCAGTCCTGAAACTCCATCCACCTCGTACGCGGAAAGGTCAATTTTAAGACTCCACTTTGAGCGACTGTCGATATTTATTCAGACAACTTAGGTAGACGAAACTTTCAGAACAAATATTTTGTGGCGTTTCCAACGTAATATGAAAATATCACGAACCTAGATCATCCAAAACGGATTTTATAAGGCGTCAAACACAACGCGTTTTTTTTGCACCACCCAGTATAAGAGAACGAGACAGGAGGGGATTGGCAATCCCCTGTCCATTTCAATAATTGGTTAATGTCTCGCTTTGTATCAATTTAAATTGAATTTCAATTGTTGAGAACATATCAATATATGTACAGCGCAAGTTCTGTAAAAACTTGCGAAAAATTTTGTTTCGTGTATATCCGGTGGGAACAGATTAAAATGTTACAGGTTAAAAGTCGTTGGTCTTTGGCCAGCAACGCCTGCACTGACCAAGCAGATAAGGCTCTTTCTTCTCTCTTCCATCTCAACTATAGGCGCCAAGGCTGAAGAGGGAGAGGGGGGAGGGCAAGTGAATGTCTTTGCACTCCAGCAATCACTATGTTTACAAACTTAATACACACCCCATCTAGATCATAATTGCCATCCTGGTGTAAATTTCATTTGCTNTCCCCTGTCCATTTCAATAATTGGTTAATGTCTCGCTTTGTATCAATTTAAATTGAATTTCAATTGTTGAGAACATATCAATACATGTACAGCGCAAGTTCTGTAAAAACTTGCGACAAATTTTGTTTCGTGTATATCCGGTGGGAACAGATTAAAATGTTACAGGTTAAAAGTCGTTGGTCTTTCTTTTTACCATGCCTTGTATATTATAAGTAAAATAAAATTAATTTTTATATATGTAGGTGACTAAAAAGTAGAGATCGACCGATATATCGGTTGCCGATATAAATCGGCCGATATGTGCATATCGGTGAGTATTCACATCGGCTCTTTCATGCATTCCGATTTTGGCCGATATCAATAATACAGTTCTGTATAATCTTCCAGTGCAAGAAAATATTACTAGGACTAGCTCTTCCGCTTCCAAATGGAAACCTTGGTGTATTAGCGTTCTGGCCAATACGGCATCATCGAGAGGCGAGGAACTGCAAGTCTTTCGCTCTGCTTTCGTTCTTATTCTCGTACATAGAAGTTAGGCGTATTCACGGCTACGGGAAATTCAACGGCTAAAACGATAGACCTTCGCCCTAAGGGTTAGGTTTCGCTGATTGTCCGAAAGTACGAGGGCTGTTCATTTAATTCGCAGACAAGGGGAGGGGGACTCCTGCCGTTTCCTGACCCTTTCCAAGGATTAAGCTCTAGTATATCATTTTTGGCCTGCTGCCTTACGTTACGTTACATTTAACCAGGGTCTAAAACGTAGGCCTAAACTTGTCCTAAAGACCCTCCCTGTTCAACCACGAGAGAACCATTCTCTTTCGCGACGCATACATCTTTACCAAGTCAGTCTCAGTCGTCGAGAAAAAGTGACCAAGCACCCATTCTAAAATTGTACCTGTTGCTTACCCAATTCGTTAAGTAACCCGTTCCAGAGTGTCTCAGACACATTTCTGTTCTGGTCAAATTAGTGAACGAGAAAAAATTGAACTGGAGGGGGGGACGAGTTGGAATGGCGATCTCCCTACACCAAAATTCGTGGAGATTTTTTCTAGTGGATAAAGATTCTAAGAAACTGTTCTTTGTCGTGTAAATGTTAGCTTGAGGTCATTAGTTGCCAAAGTGAGAAATGAAAGGAAAGAAGGAAGGAAGATACGGAAATTTAAAAGCAGCCTGCAAGCCAACAAGTGGAAAGCAAGGCCCCATAGGTGATGTTGTCGGTCTAGGTTTAAAGATTTGCTTCTGATCCATCACCAGTCGGACTGCAACAGTCAGCACTGCATGTTCAGCAGGCAGAAAAAGTGGAACCCCTCTCATCCCAGGTGTATAAAAACTAACAAGTTCTTTCTCAATAAGATAGAATGCATGACCTTTGGTTGAGAACAATGGATAACGAAGCTAATTCCTGAATCACAACCAAGGTATGCTCAAGAATTCCTCTTAGAAGATTTCATGCTGGTATGCGTACATCTTACAGAAGTATTTCATGAGATATTCCATGAAAGGGAGATCAGGAAAATGCTGAAAAGTTACTCTTCATCCGGGAAAATTTGAAGTAAATGAAGTGCTGATGAATCTTTAATATGGTTTTATGCTGAAATATCGGCAAAATATCGTATGGCGGCTATCGGCTTCATATATCGGCCAATATCAGAATCGGCAAAATCGGTAAAATCCAGTATCGGTCGATCTCTACTAAAAAGTCGCTTGACGCGTGTTCGGCTCTCCAGCGTGAAAATTATGCTTAGCAGTTCAATGAAACTTAGTGAAAAAAGTCTTATAACGGGTGCTGCTGATCTGCCATCACACAGAAAGAGCAGTTATTTGAAGGACATATAAAATGAAGCTGTTGCGTTGAATCCAAATCGATTTGTAACATTACACGAGTTTTGTTTCCTGCTTATACTTCGGCATCTTTAAAAATTATTCGAGAACTGATCATCAGCACGCCACGGCAGGATTATATACGCCGAAGCGCATGTATGCAATTTTCGTCAGCAGCGTCCCCCTTCTGTTTCTTTCATGTCACGTTCTTCCTGGACGTTGTGATTCTAACCCCTAAGGTCCTACGAATTGCTGTGCATATTTTTCGTGCTTGAGCGCTATACGCCCATTGGCGACTCGCGACTCCACCATCGTCCTGTGTTAGCGATATGGCCAAAAAAGAGATAAGCAAGTTAAGTATTAATATTCATGATGGACTGTTGGAAATGAGAAATACCGATTTTTGCGTTCAAAAGAGAACTAATTTTGCACCAACCTGAGAAGTTTCATCTAGAGTAACAATTTTGGAAACATCGTGATTACAAGAATGCGACATGAAGCGTTCTCGCACACTCTCAGCCCAGCAACGCCTGCACTGACCAAGCAGATAAGGCTCTTTCTTGTCTCTTCCATCTCAACTATAGGCGCAAAGGCTGAAGAGGGAGAGGGGGGAGGGCAAGTGAATGTCTTTGCACTCCAGCAATCACTATGTTTACAAACTTAATACACACCCCATCTAGATCATAATTGCCATCCTGGTGTAAATTTCATTTGCTAATTCATTTTTTTTTATAGTCTTGGGAAGGAGGTGAGATCTCTTACGTTTCGGATCGAGACCCCAATGTACTTGTCCTGGTTCTTCCGAAACCACTCGCCTTGCATGCAGGCTGACACGATTGGCAAGTCCTGCTGCATGTGGACAATGACACTCCATGTTTCTTCGGTCTTCCCTCTCTCTCCATCCTCTCTGTCGATAGCCTTTTCCACCCTCACGTGCACTTCAATGTGGACCATGAGATTGTTAACATGAGATGTCGAATGAGTCCTGGAAAGGAGAACCTGGTTCGAGGAAAGGGGGACGGACTCAAGCGGAGATAGAGTCCATGATAGGATCCTGAGAGTGTGATGGGGTTCCCGAAGAACGTTAAACACTTCCCGGAAATCGCGTCCACTTCCTTGAACTTTCCTTCGCCTTCGCACTCTTTTCCTCGCCCTAGATAACACTGAACGTACCACATCCAGTGAGCTCCAGCGTTCTTTGAAGACTTAAATGTTCCATGACTCGTCGCTCGTTCTAGGTCTTTTTCCTTCCATCCCTTCCTCGGGGAAGGAGGCAGTGGCATGCCCACCATAGATGGAGGTGGGTGCTGCCTCAGGTGGCTTTGGGAATGGGTAGGATGGGACGCAGCGGGTTCAGAACAGGGGAGATATTGTACAGAGGGGATTTTGGTACATTGCGTTTCGTTGCTGCCGTGAATGAAGCGAGGATGCAGGATGAGATTTAATATGGAGTAACATTTAATGTGGATGAGATTTAGTATAAGTTATCTTCCGTTCGTCACGACATCATCTGAGAAGCTGTGTAGCGATTGGGGATGAAGGACCACAACAGCAACGTGGTGTTGGCGCTAGCGAATATAGGGGATCGCCCTCTCCCGGGTCCTATGTAGGAGATGCCTTAAAAAGTATCGATCGGCAAGACATGGCTCCTCCATCTTTCCGACAGCAGCGTTGTTATGTTGAGTTCATTAATAACGATGTTTTTCTTTTACACCTGGGTGAAATTTCAGCTTTGTATCAACATTAATCAACATTTTTACTGACTTAATGTTGCGTAAATCAACTGACTAAATACGGCTAATTCTCCAAAGTAGGAGCGAATGCCTCTCTCGAAATCGCTGCATCCACCTGAGAACTGTGCTTCCTGGAAGGGTAGGCCCCCCCCCCCCCACGAATTGCTTCCAAATCCGAATGAATTCACAGAACATTTTTAAAATTGTCTTATTCTAAGTCGTAAATACTTCTGACAGAACATGAAAACTTCGGTTTCCCTTAAAGATTTGTAAATAATACCTGCCTTATCTAGGATTCCTGCTTTATCAAGGAAATGCTAGTCCGTATTACTGGCGGGAAATTTTAGGGTTAAGGGCCCTTTATTCATTAATCCAACCTTCAAGCGAGCAATTTTTTCCTTATTCTCGTTGAAAGAATCCGTTTCCATCAATCCCCGGGAAAATTCCAAGCACAGAGCTTTGGCAAACACAGAGCAAACACAAATTTGCAACGCGATTTACACGAGTGGCATTTCCGAGGAGTTCATCGTAATAAAAAGAAGCAACCCGTTACTTTCAGTTTGTGGCCCGAATCGTAGAGGACTCGGCTGACCGAAATTTCGAATCCGAAGTTGCAGTCCCAACGTTAAATTCTGTCTACGCTGTTGCTTCTTTCCCTCGGGAAAGTATGCACGCAGTTGATCCAAATTCGCCCACGTCGGCGGCCCACACCGAAAGAGGAATAATTTCGAGTCTCTCTGTCTCTCTTGAGAAGGGAAAAAAGGAAGAAACGGGGTCGCCAACTTTTCAAACGCAATGGAACCTGTCCAAGTGGTTCTTCTCTGTTATTTATTTTTCATACCCTGCCTTGCCTTCCCGATCGGTCGCAACCCTTCCCGGTAACCTGGTTACCAGGATCGGAAAAGTTCGGTATCGTCAAGAAGATATTTATGTTACAATGAATTCCTTGAAAATGCCATTTCATGATTGCGTGCTCGGAATTTTTTATGACCATTGGAAAAAGGCTTCTCCCCCTTGGAAGAGGAATAAATTCTTCGATTAAAAGTCGGATTTCGGACTCGCGACTCTAGCCGTAATGTTCCAGAAAAAAGAGTCAAGTTTTCCCTCTGTAACACGGTTTAACATTTTCTCGTTCACGGAGTTTAGAAAGCGATTAAAAGCGGAGTGCGCTCTGATAGGTTCGGTCGAAAATGGCAGCCAGCCACAATTTATCGACCGATCAGACCAAGCGACTAACCAAAGGGCTCAACTTTCATAACTTCAACCCAATAATTTCAATCAATGAAATACTTAGCGAGAGGCAGTCGTACGCTGGCGATGATGCTCGAGATGTTGTAGGTTGCGAGTTTCCAAAACTCAGCGCTGCCGAGTTTCTCGGACAAGATTCGGGTTGCCTTCCATATTCCGGGATATTTCGAAGCTCCGAATTCCCGATTCCACAAATCTTCGACTCGATTCCCGTCGAAACGGTCCACGGCCTCGCTAGATGGGATCGATTGAGATTCGAATCGTTTCACGGAGTAATCGGGAGATCGAAATCGTGTTTTCTTACCCGATATTGCTGCAGATGGTGACCGCCGGGAAGATGAGCGATTCGTTCCGGATCACTTGGATCGTAACCGCGATCGGCCCGGATAAGAAGGTGAAGAGTCGGTCCAGGCATTGAGCCAGCATCAATCCGAAGCAGACGACCAAGATGAAGGCCCAGATCACTCTCCTGCGAATGCAAAACGGAAATCGGTCGCGGAAACGGAAGCCAAAAAAGCAAACGATGGGAGATTTACCGTGCGAATTTCGATCCCCGATCGAGGACGACGTCGAGACCCGAGATTTCGATCTCCGAGGGGGAAATCCTGCGGAAAGTCCCGACGGCGCGGCTCCGTTCCGCCGGCTTCGTCTCTGCCGCGTTCCCCATCTCGTCCGATTTTCCGCGAGTTTTTGCACCTTCTCACGGGCGGACTGATGCAAACGTTGAAACGTTTCGAGATCGAAAAGACACGTGAACCTCTCTGTCACGTATCAGCTGGATACGATTGCCCCTTAAAAAATTAAAGTTAAAAAGTTCCTTGCATTCTGAGACGGTCGAGCACAGGTCATAACCTCACTTGAGGTGGAATGCTCCACCTTCAAACACCTTTAATTCACCTCTAAATGGGCATTACACAATTTAGGCAGGGGTGCCGAAAAAAAGCTGACAAGCATTTCAACACCTTGTAACTGTCAAATATCGATCACGTATCCAATTCAATTTTTTTTTTACTGAATTTATGAAACTGTGTTTCTCCCATAGAAAACGGTAGAGCGTTTTTTTTAACCACCCTATAATTTATGCGGGCGGGCTCGGGGAATCAATTAACTCCAAATTGTGTTCCCTGTTGCCCCTTGGCGGACGAGGGTGCTGACAAGAAAGGAATAGGAATCAGGAGAGTGGGGTTGCAGACTACTTATAGGTCAAGGTCGAAAGTAAGGAGTGACGCTTGGCGGAGTATGATCGTACCCAATGCCTCCTAGAGCGACCCACAGAGAGCTGCTCGTCTGAACATAGAGCACAAATTCAATCTAAGAAGGGTCATGAGCAACTCTGTATCGAATGGGGTTCAGGATTTCGGGCAATATTCTCGTACTCAGCCGGGGATGTCCAACCGATCAACTCTTTGGAATGGTATATCAGAGAGGCGCGCAAAAACTGACATACCATACCCCATTTTACTGCGAGTAATGCCTTTAGGATCGGCAGGAATGAAAATGCGGTCTGCACCCTGTGTTTCACTTCCGTCGTTTCTTGCCTCGGTGTGGATCTCTACACGTCTTCCATAATCTCTTCCCTACAATCGGGGAGTGCAGATGGGGAGGGGGACCTTCGCGATGAGTAAAAAAAGCCTACCATGCCTCTATCTATGGCAGATGACATCCCTACATCGATGGATGAATCGGCACCGCCTAAGTTTTTCCTATTGCGTTTAGGTTGCCACCTTTGAAATTAGGAAAATATGGACATGTGGTCTGTGGACGTATATGGACAAATATATGAAGTATACTTGCGTTTGTGGCTCTGCTGCAAATACCTACAACCACCTTTAGCCGAAGTACCAATTGATGCCATAAGAGTGTGGCATACTACTCTGGCTCGAAGAAAACAGTGGTTTTAACTGCTATGAAGTTTTATTACGAACTCCTAATTGCCCGTTGAGAATCAGTTTCTAAGCCCCATTCACGTGTTTTATTTTCTTTTTCTTCTAAGAACATTGATGATCTGGATATAATTTTCATAATCCTAAAAGTATGGACCATGAGGATCGCAGTTGAGGCCAGACAGACGATATTTAAATTATTTCGTTCCAGGAAACCTCGGGAATAAGTGAGGCACTGGACGAAATCGTTGGGTTTCATTAAGCTTGTGAACGGCAACTACGTAAAACTTCAAATTCCCTCGCACGACGGATTGCTGCTAAATTTAGCATGAGTATTAACTGATGCTGAAATTACTTTATCTGATATCCAAATTACTTCAGAAAATGAACGGAAAAAGAGTAAGAATAAGAATAAAAGTTTGCATTTCGTTTCCCATTCTTATCGACCAGCTCTCAATTTGGGTTCCTGTGACTCTACCAGAGGACAAGTCCAAGAGAGAAAAGAACTTTGAATACAATTTAAAAAAAACATCGAAACAGATTCACTTACGAAACGGTGCAATGCTTCTATCTTCGTTCTTGTAGCGCTACTGTATATGTACATTCCTTCAGTCCCTGGTACAAAAAGTCAAGAATCTCACGTCATTCACCGGCTCCTCCCTTCTCAAGGCGATGTTTGCCTATCCATCCCTTTTCAGTTTGTAGACAAGCCACACCCACCGTTTGACGCAGTCCATGAAAAAGGCATACACTTGGCGAGAGTGATTATTTCCCGTGTGCATCTGGTTCTTTTGTATGTTCTGGGAGGACAGTCATGATTCATGGATGGCTAAAAAAAAAAAAAAAGGTCATGCGCTAAGTTAAGTCAAACAACTTTCAATCACTGATAGATGAGGTGACAATCAAGAGGAAGAGTGTTAATCCAATGAAAATAGCACAATTGGGGGCAGAAAATGCTGGAATTCTATTTTTCAATAAATTTTTGGAAAGGAAAAATTATGGTAATAATTATGACAGCCCATGATGAATGGCACACTAAACGTCACACTGCCATGTTATTTAATACCCAGTGTCGAATGAACAGAAGACAAGATGCGAAGAATCTGTCCAGCAGGAAGGATTCTCGTATTTAAAAATAAAGTATAATAATTACAGTGTTCAAAGATAATATCTCCGGATTCATGGCAAGTCCCATTCTTCGACGCATACCTGCGATAGAGGGAGACTTACTTATACATCTAACCCAATACTGGAGGAATTTCATAACATGCGTGTAGAAAGTCTCCCGACATAATGCGGTCCAATGTCCTGGAGAAGACTCCTGTTTCACGTACGGTGTACTCCATGAATCCAGATATACGAATGCACAATTTTGAACGATCTAAAATGTGAATTTCGAAAGACGGAATCTTTCCTGACTGGTACACAAACTCATCGCATTTTCTCCTGTTCTCTGTGCAGGGATTCGTTTTCCATCGCCACCAGGTCAGGCGCTGCAATATTGTCGTCAGAGAATTAGATTGATTTTTCGGTACATTTCCACGTTACATCACGAATGAGGTTAAGCAGAACCGTTTCAGCCTTGGGTCAGTTTGACACATGCTAGTGGACTCCGGTGGATCGAGTGAAAATTATAGCTCCCATCTTTTTATGTAAAATATTCGTACCAAAGCATGTGAAACCATCAAACACGAGTACTACTAATACGATGATAACGCGATACAGCCAATATGTTTCGTGGTAGTGTCCACTACTCCTTGCCAACTAATACAGGCACGAAATTCATTATCATAGATGGTATTACTAACATTGCAAATTGGTCAAGGAATGTCTTCTACTCCATTTCTCGGAGGCTTTCCCCTAACTGGTCGAAGGCCGTGCTACTTTAGTCGGTGGCGAGTTGGAGATGGAAGACGATGCCATACTTTGACTTCCGACATGGTGAAGGGCTTTGCCAGGCAAGAGGAATGAGCAGCAAAGTGGACCAGGCGAAGTTGCTATTGCAAGGGGAACAATTCTTCCCCTGCCTATAAATACCAAGAGTCGAAGGGAAAGAAATGCCAAGAGTCTTGGATTCCTTCCATAGGGCTTTGGGTCAATGCATTTGCTTTCGAGCATCCAGAAATACAGGAATCAATCGGGGGTGGAGAGAAGGGGGGGTTCTTGCACTTCGTTTCTCTTCGAAATGCGCTTTTTTTCCGATGGCTTCCTCGCATTGAGTATATATTTATAATAAAAAAACCTGAAATCCTTATTTTTCCTGGTGTCATCGCACGAGACGCATACGTAAGGCACTTCATATTACAAGTACCCTCGGTACCTTATTGTGCATCTCCGCCCTCAATCGAATCCACTTCCGACGTTGTAGGGTGCCGTTGATTCCCATTCGCCTCAGCGGAGGGGCAGCGTCTAGAGGTTTGTCCTTTCCGTCTATGCATGTACAGTGTGTCGCCTATTTGTTATAAGCTTTTGTGCATGCAACATTTTTCTCAGACTTAGAAAAGATAAGACAGGCACTTGGTTCTTTATCTGTCAAATTTGTCCATTAATTCTGAAATTGGTGACACCGTGCTGCTAATTTTTGCTGGTACATTACATTATCACCACACCTCAAAAAGTTGATTTTCCACCATTGGCTCGTACCTTGCCCACAGAAATGTAAATATACTACAAACTTCATTCTTTTCATATTGAGCTGCCATTTTTAACTTGTCAATGCCCATGACCAATGCGCACCAGCATGTACGTGTTTCGCAGGAATGCCACCCTTATGCCAAATGTACCTACAATACTGGTTTTGGAAATAACCTCACCAAGTGGTTGCCACAAGTATTGTAACCTTACTTTCTGATCAACCTTGAATATTTTAGCCTTGAATATTCGAGCAAAAGCAAGTTTTCACGCGCACTGGCACTGCCTCGGGCTATATTCTCCCACTCACGGTTCCAATCTCACCGAATGAACAGTTATGTAATTGTCAAAAAAAAACTATGCCAATGCGTTTCATTTTCGGCAGCCGTTGGTGCAAACGCGCAATGGTTCTCAATCTCTGGTTCTTGGACCACCGAGCACACGGACCTTCTATGGGAGTAAAAGGAGTTTGAGAACCACTTCGCTATAGTAGTAAGGCAAACTCGTCGCTCGTGAATGTAGGCCTTAGCCTTTAGGCTTCAGTACGGAATGGAAAAGCTTATAGCACAGGGTTTGTGAGCCTCACTCCAGGCGACACTCCTTCCGCATTCCAGTCATTGACAGGGTCAATTATAGATGTCGCTGTCATTGAATAATTCCGACCACTTGGCACCTAAATGCCCCCGAGGGCCGATGCACTGGTTTTACTCAACTCATTCATGCTGCCAATATATCCAACACGTTTCGGCTAATGGCCTACATGACAAAGCACTCGTATGGAAAGGCCAGTTCCAAACCTGAATCACTTATCTCCAGTCTGTGATTCTGAACCCATTGCTCTCAATACAGCAAATTAGTGTCTCGAGAAAAGCTCAAGGAAAAAATTCAGGCCGATTGAGATTGCGACAGAAAAACCATTAGAAACCCGCGCCACACTTAACTCTTTCTTCAGACCATTTTAATCCTGAACTTCAAGGCTATGGAAGTGTACAAGTGAAAAATTCGAGTGAAAAACTAAGTCTTTAGCCCTCAATTCTATGCGATAGTGTAACCATTGAAAATATAAAGCACCTAACGTAACTATTTTATTTCCTTTAGAAGCTCTAGAGCAAAACAGCTCGTATATCCACAGCCTGGTGGAAAGCTGGACTCGTACCATTCCCAACATTAAATTTTCAAAACATTTATATTCCTTCACATGCTCATTAAAACGTTTTTTTTTTTTTTAGAGATCCAAACCTCTTCTACCTACAGAGTTATTCGTTCCATGAGTTTATCAA